GTAGTCACAATTTTAATATTACAGAACAGCGTTCCAATGTTTATGTAATTTTAGGCCAGTGGCCGCTCAAGAAGAAATGAATCAGGGAAATGAAAAGCGAGCTTGACTGTGCTTGAATTTATCGAATTCGTCATGCCCATATGTTCCCGAAGACAAGACATTCTCCTCACGAATGTCGAAAACCCCGCCAATGCCAGCCTTCTGAAATACCCCACCAGCCGCAGCGAACAAGACCTGTTTGGCTGGTGCACGCTACTGTCGAGTGAAGCCTTCGTCAAACTTTTTGAAAACTGAGTAAACGTTCAAAACCATCATTTCGGAAGTTAGTGATACTTCTAAGCATAAAATTGTTATGGCTGTCATAACTAATAGTCGCAGTTGGAAGTGAAAGGTTAGAATGCGTTTATACTTTGCGGCAGCGTAGCGCTTCCAGCGTTTCACTAGCGTTTCGCTAGCGTTTGCCAGCGGCGGGGCTAGAGAGTATAGAAGAGTAGGAGAGTACAAAATACTCGGCGGCGCTAGAGAGTATAGAAGAGTAGGAGAGTACAAAATACTCGGCGGCGCTAGAGAGTATAGAAGAGTAGGAGAGTACAGAATACTCTCCTACTATCCCATAGTCTCTACTCCCTGCCGCTGCAAGCGCTAGCGAAACGCTAGTGAAACGCTGGGAGCGCTAGATCGATAGCTATACATCCCGTGCCCTCGCTACGCTAGCGTACGCTGGCGTACGCTGGTGACGCTGGGAACGCTAGATCGATATCTATCCTTTCCCCGACACTGCCGCTGGCGTACGCTGGAAGCGCTACGCTACGCTACGCTGCCGCAAAGTATAAACGCAGCCTTATTGAAAGGTCTTTTTGAAAGGTTATTCAAAAATGCCTTAACTACTGGTGCTCTTGTACTTTTGCTCGACCCTGAAAAGAGTCAGTCTAGACAGGTTCCCAAAATTTCACAATCTGACTGCTCACAGCTTGCTTGGAAGGTTCGAATAGCAGTTCCCTCGATTCAGCATTCTAATGACTAGTAAACAGAAAAGAGGCAGTGGTGAGATAAACAGACCCACCCCCACCAGAACAAATGACTAATTGTAAGTGATAAATGATAGCAGAATTTGCTGCTTTTTTGGAAAACACTTATTTCATTTTGTACTCGCTTTGCTTCATCTGCGGTCGAACCGCAATAAATTCCCCCTCAAAGGTAACATGTATCTTATTCTTCCATTTTGTTAAATAAGTGACTGCTCCCGGCAAAGTGTGAAGGTCTCGAATACGAAATCAGGGACCCACCATCGGGGCCAAGGCGTTCCGTAGTGGCCACGACATCTACCAAGTGCTTCATGCTTCATAGCCCTATGCGAGCTTTCTGAAGACGCAGTCCATGCTGAGTATATGGGCAAGGCCAAACCTGTTCGCTGTGTCCTTCGAAACCGCTGAAACGCTCTCAACCGTTCAAGAAAAGAGAGGCGTTCCAATGGTTAGGGGCCGAAGTCCGCCCATAAGATTAGCGTTGGCTGTACCCTTGAAGACAAGCTATACGCTCACCTTTTAGGTAATTCCGTCCCACGTGGGATGTGGGTGGGTGTGGAGCTGTCGAATAATGTTTTTTCCGTCATTCGAAAGGGCGTAGGAAATGAGGCTGGAGCGTAGTGGAAGGTGAACTCCATTTGGACTTCTGCCCAAGGTCCGCACGTGCAGCGTGTGCGACCACGCCAAGATCCTGAAATGAAGAAACGGCTTGCTGCGTATCGATGCCGAGCGTAGAGAACAACCAAACGCGAGAGGGCGCGGACAAGTAGCACGATTGGCTTATGGCTACTTAGGCATATAGCTGGTAGTGCGGCGTGTCACGTGTTGCGTGCTTTGCTTGCGAGTGGAGCTGCAAGTGGCATCCAGCCTTCCCTACAGGTTCACTTTCGTGCAAGTTCAGTGACGAAAAAGGCACAGCTTATACAGCTGCATACCCCCTGGCTTCGCCCAAAATTAGACCTGGATACTGAAAGATATCAGTGTCTCATCGAAGATTAATGTAGCTTCTTATGCGCGCTGTCTAGACTTAAAGACTGACACCTTGAAAATGTTTCCACCCCGTCAACTACCGTTTAGCTCTTTAGAGGCAGCCTGGACATATCAAACACCTATGGATTACAACAAATTTTCGCAAGCATTAGAACAAGTGAAATCGACCGCGTTTTACTACTACAACAATTTTAGTTGGGCTGTAAGTACTTTCAGTCTAACACTGTAGTCCTTTGTAATGCTGTACGTCAATTGGTCGTGTGAGGCATGAGGTTGGAAGCAGTCCTGTCGATGCCGGCTGTTGTACTGGTTTTACGGGCGCTCTTTAGGCATGCAGCGGCTTTCTTAGTTCACATGTTCTCCTTTCTTAGTGTGCCCTCTACAAATCTTGTATACGATGCAGTCTGATTTGCTCCAGTAAGGTGACCCTCCATTTTGAGCCTACTTTCCTTTGTGGACACAGGTTCATATAAGTCCAAAATGGGAAACTGTTGCAAGATCTATATGAGTTTGGTAGATTCGGCCGGGAGTGTGTACAACATCAGTTCCATACCTAGTCTAGTTATGACAGTCCTTCTTTTTTAATGCCAGTTTCAGCGATTATAAAGCAAGTAGTCACAATAATAGGACCCCATTCAAAAGCACCTCTGCACAGCGAAAAAAGGAACGAGTTACAGTTTCGTTCCCTGCTCATAATGGGGCGTGTCAGCGGGTGGGTGGGTGTGCCACACGTGTTCCTCAGCAGTTGTTGAGCGGGGTAAACGACCGTAATTGGTGGAAACGACTATGGTACAGCTTCGCCACTTGCAGAGAAAAAGGAAAAGAAACGGGCTGCCGCCGCGCCATACCCATCCTCCTGACACGTCATCCGCAGCGAAGAAGATTGTACCTAGCTGTATGGGACTGGCAATGAGGGATTTGCGCTGACGTTCCGTAACCCTCTTCCAGTGGACCTGTGTACCTGTATACGGGCTTCTAATTTTGTCCAATGCAGTTCTGGAGCGGGCATTTGACAATATGTGCCCCGGGAGAGACCACTGTACCGAGGGTTGAGGTGGCCCAGACAAGGCAACGGCGAAACTATCCAAGAGAGAGAGTGAAATATGACCATCTTATCCTAGAACATATCACGCCTCGGGTAAGAGGGCGCAGGGATGAAGGCAGAGCGGGGCCGGGCTCGTCCTGCCCTTTTTACACCCCCGACTGATTTCGATGTACACGCGTGCATCGATGAAACTATTGAATGACAAATAAACTTGCCTCTACACTACCTCCGCCGGTCAGGAGGCGCTTATTGTCGACTGTTACTACTCTATACGTACCAACATAGTGAGTGGAGGCGATCAGTCTCCTATACGTCCGTTGATCGAAGGACATGACGAGAAAGCCACAGAACCTCGGCACTATGGGACCATAACTGAAATTGTTCAGACTATATCTATTCCGCAAGTGCAGATTAAGCCAGAAACAGAAAAAGATCAAAAGCCTGTACAGCCAGTACAAATCAAGCAAGAAACAGGAAAAGTAAAGTGCCAGCAGAGAAGCCGAACCTGCAAAAATGGCCAAGGTAAACTAAGCCACTTTGAAGCTGTACACCAAACAGGTACAGTAACTATCTCTGCGAAGGAGAGGGCGGGTGAAGGGCTTGGACTGGAACGCAGGCAAAGCAGCCCTCCCACCAGTGGAACTGGCCGCACTGCGCTCCAACGCACGCCCCCTCACACTCCCTTTCTTTTGCAGGGATAATGATTGTAGTTCACTGCATGTGAGTTGGAATAGCTACGATTTTGACGGTATCATTTCACTAGGACCCGTACTGGACTGGCGCTACTAGAAACTGAATATACCGTTTGTCTAGTAATCCTTTTGATGTCAGAGAGATTAGTCTCAGAATTTATTGAGATGCGGAATTACAGACGACGCCGCCTGCACCCCAAAAACAAGTCAAGTTACAAGAAAGAAAACAAGAAGCACCTGAAAAGAAGCCAAAAAGTCAACCGAAGCCACCATCCAAGGTGAAACACGATCTCGTTTTGAACGAATGAACGAGCTTTTGTGAAGCTTACCATTAGCAGCAAAGTGCACAGTCACTTCCGTGGATCCTCTCCTTGCCATGTGGGAGTTGAATATGTGAATGGGTTAGCAGCTGCAGTAGCGTGCAACTCCTCCGTTCAAAAAAAAAACTGAGAAAGGGGGTGGAGAGTAGTGACACACCGGTGCCGTCTTCTGACTCCGCCCGCTTGTCTCATGGCCAGCTCTGCGCAGCCCAGCCATAATCAAACGCGCTCCATACTTGTCTGCGCCCTCCCAATGTTAGTGTTCTCCATAGCTGAGTGTGTGTCTCGTTGTGGGATCTTTGTATCGAGGGAAGGGCTGCATCTCGAGGGTAAGGTTGGCGGAGTCTGGAGACGGCAAACTACCTTCCTGCCCCGTTCCTGTGCACTTTTGAGCGAAGAAGTTGTCACGCTGTTGCAGCTGCGAACCCATTCACCTTTTAAACAAGGACCTTGCTCGTAGGCGGGTGTACATTTTGTGTTATAATTGTGCAAAAATGGTGAATTTCCGCTGAAAGTGCAGCCTGCGCCGCTTTCAGATGGAGTGCGCAACCGTGCCTTCTGCACGTGCGAGATATGGAGTGTATGCAGCCAGTATTTCAGCTTGTATATTTTAGCACGTTGTTTCGGAAAACGTGCAAGACAAATCAGATTTCGCTAGACCGAGCCAGCAGCAAGTAGTGGAGGCGACTAATCCAAACTACGAGACGATGCGTGGTTTGAGTAACGCCAAATTGTTCGACAATGCACATAAGCAAGTAAGTGACGTCTAGAAGAAATTTTTGGATCTTTCACTGTACAAAGGTTTCCTACCTAGGAAATTCCTTAGCTTCTCCTTCGATTAAGGAAAGCGCGACTTCGGAGAGAGTGAAAGTGCAGGTATATGTGTGGGAAGTATGGCTCTATAGGGTTGTAGCTCTCATCAGCTGTTATTAGATCGCTATTGCAACTTGATAAAATAAATAGCGTATACTATTGAAGGCGGACAAGGGCATGCATTTTGGAATGATCACTACGGAGATAGTGTTTGACCGCGAGGACGGACGGAAATTAATATAAAGTGGCCGGGTGGGGAGGTCCGATTTTGCGCCATTGTTGAGAGAGGACTGCTTAGTTATGCAATACTATTTCCGATAGCTGAAAATGATAGTTGAATCCTGACGACCCTCTCCCCCCGCTCGACAGCGAAATTCTGGGGAAAAACCAGAAATTTTTTGAGAAATTTCGGAAAAATTGGTGGGAGGTTAGGGAAAGTCTGACCTGAGAAATTTTCTGTTTCACATTGGGTACCCCCCCGTCCCCCCACCCCACCCACCTGCCGCTCGATTCACATTGGGTACCCCCCCATCCCCCCCCTCCCCACCTGCCGTTCAACGGAAAATTCTTGGCTGAAAAACTGGAAATTTTCGGATAGTGGTAGATAGCATGGGGAGGGAGGGGGCATATTTGAGAATAGAGTTAAAGGGGTCATATTTTTCAGGAAATTAGGGAATGATCACAACGCGATGGCGTGCCTTGTGCGGAAGTGGAGCATAAAGAATAAAAAGGCTAAAGTCGTCGCCGTTGAGCAATCCTTTGGTGAGATGCGGCACGCATCCTACTTCCATTCAGAATCGAGTATCTGATTGAATGCGATGTGGCCCTATAAATGACTTGCGGAGGCTGGCCGATGTACAAGCAATGTGGGCCTTATGGAAACTTGGTTGGGCGGGAGTCAACCCGGGATTGGAACCCAGGACCGCACGAGTGGTGAGCGCGCCAGTTGTCATTACACCACCTCTTACCGGAAGTGGTGCATATTAGTAAGATTAGGTCCACTCTCACCTTACCCATGACCTGCCAAAGCTTCTGTGTAAGTGCGAGAGGTGCTTGTTCGCGCATTTAAGGAAGTTCTGAGCAAAACAACAAAAAATACACTTTGAACACATACTTCGAAAAAAGTCGTAGTTTCGTTTGGGACTATAACCGATGGAGGTTTCTTTACAGGGCGGTAGCGCCGATTCGTGTCATAACCAGATGAAAGAGGCGCCTGATAACGAATACGAATACACAACTACTTTAGACAATGTGGCGATCACTGCACAGGTAGCTTAGAATCAGAAACTTGGCCTTTGAAAAATGAATTTCTATCACAAGAATGCTGAGTTATGGGCAAAAGTCGGACCACGGACGGGATTCGAACCCGCATCTTCTGCTTACCGGGCAGTTGCGTTCCCTATTACGCTACCGAGGCCACTTTTGACCACTCAGCTCAATGGCTATTTGTGCCATAGCCTTCAGCATTCTTGTGATAGCTTTCGTATCGCGTACTGCGGCGTTAAACAGCAGTTATCAAACAATAACAGCTTGAAACTTGTAAAAAGCCTTCAGCCTTGCGGTTCACTGCCGATATCGGCTAACCGGCTCATCACGTTGAACGTGTGAGTGCTGTAAGGCTATGGCACAAATAGCCATTGAGCTGAGTGGTCAAAAGTGGCCTCGGTAGCGTAATAGGGAACGCAACTGCCCGGTAAGCAGAAGATGCGGGTTCGAATCCCGTCCCGTGGTCCGACTTTT